TATATATATATATATATATATATATATATATAGATTCAGCAGTTTAAAAAATAATATAGATTTTAGCTAATTTTATAAATATGCAAGTTTTATATGCTATGTATGAAATTATCTCAAAAAATTAAATATAATGCATATTTTTTTAATTTTATCTTCATTTATATTTATTGTCTTTGTTTATTTGAGAGTGATAGTCTATCAAAAAATTGTATTCATCTTAGAAGCATCTCGAGTCCTGACAGGAATTTCAAGATAATATTTTTAACAATGAACGTTCAAACTTTAATTAAAAATCATCTAGAATTCTGATTTTAGCAAACTTATAGTTAAATTGACTGACTTGATAACACAAACATAATGAAACAAATATTGACCAAATGTGAGTCAAAACAAGCCTGGATCAAGCAGTCAAACCACTTTTGAATTCTTTTGGTGTTTAAATGAAATGTCAAACGAATTGCAAATCTAAAAAGCTTTTAATTAAGTTTAGTATCTTGATGAGGCAAATCCAACAAGCCCAAAATCGTTGAATTATGACATTGTTAAGGCAATCAAATGTCTACAATACTCCATCACAAAACTTCATCCGATAGAGTGATATGGATGCTTTCCATATTTACCAGGTGATCTCTCCTATACTATATATAGAGAATCCTACCTTTTCATGAAAGGGGGACTAAACTTAGAACTAGAAGAAGAGCGAGACTTGGAGGAGAAGGAGTTGAGGTCCAGTGTTCCACAACCAAGGTCCAGCAAATGACATCCGCTCTTGTAAACAATCGATCATCTTTGACCATGGCTCGTGGTCTGCCCCTACTCATCACAAGAAAGCCACTTGCAAAATCATGATGTGTGTCGTGGAAACATAACCTGAGTTGTGGAATCTCATCGTACGCTGCGTGCAGAGTAAAAACTAGCCTTACAGAGTAACAAAGCTTCCTACATAGCAATGCTCCTCGAAGATGGTGTAAAAACACACCTCACAAAATTTGTTTACAACAATCATAATTAAGATACAATTACTTTCTCCAGACTCTTAAAGCTTTCTCCTTAATGCCCACGACTCACATATGTGACCAACTACAGCTTACGCGCTCTACAACTTGTGCCACTATCAACTCTAGCCTTTATGGCCAACATAAGCTATCACAGCTCATGCATCTCCCACTTGACCTCTACGGCCTACTAAAATTATCATAGCTCATCCATCTCCTAACTTAGGCCTCTGCAACAAACGGATGTTATTACAGTTCGTGTAGTGCATAGCTCTAGCCTCTGGCCTAGAGACATTATCACAGCTCGAACAACCCCCATATTTGGCCTCTACAACCTACAGACGTTATCATTGCTCAACTAGCTCCTAACTCCAACCTCTTAAGGTTATGGATGTTATTAGCGCTTCTGTAGTTCCTAACTTTGTTCTCTTTGGCTTACAAACATTCTTATAGCTCATGTAGCTCGCAACCCTTGCCTCTATGGCCTGCGAAAGGTACCACATCTCATATAGCTCTTAACTCATGCAGATTTCTACTGTGGCTTCTATGGCCAACCGATGCTTCGAAAACAACCATCTTTGACCTAACTGACCAACTTTTACCATAGCTTTCAACTATGACTTCTACAACAAGTTGACAATACATCCATCATATATAGCACTCATTGCGAACTACTACCTCCATCTAATTAACTACAATCATTGCATCTCGTTTTGATTTTTATTACTAAATTATCATTTTACATTAGTTTTGTAGTCATGTATTCTCTAAATCAAGAGAATAGTGGGTATCTGTATTCACTATTATATGGTGTATTATTTCAACTGGCTAGGCCCCGTGGTTTTTTTTCCACTTCAAGGGTTTTCTATGCAAAAGCTTTTGGTGTATAAATAAGTCATTTTAATTACCCGAGTGTCAATTGAGTCCTCATCCAACACTAAAAGGTTAAATTTTTACCTACTTAAGCAAATCTTTTAGTACACATCAATTTGGTGCTGCTTGTAGGAAAGAAAGTTTCATTTCACATAGGTTTCAAGTCCACAATGTCAAGCCCCTACTTTGTTTCCTAATGATATATATAATCCAACTAGCAACTAAACATCCTTTGTAGCTTTGAAGCATTCGTGGATATGAAGGAAATCTTTGTTGCAATCTCAAAAGGTCATTCACGTCATTGCCCCAGGTAAAGTTGTGGTGGGTTAGCCTTCCCACATCTTATTTAGTTATAAAGTAGATGAAAACTACTTACAGGCTAGGGGCAACTTTCACTACACTTTTGAAAGGTTGTTCACATTAACTTCCCATGAGCAAATGTGTTAAGGTAGTCCTTTTACGACATTCAAACATCAAGCCTTTGAGAATCACTTTTAGATGGGGGCAACCTTCAATGCAAAGAGTGTTTTTTAGTGTCCCCTCACTGCGTTGAAGCTGCTCTTTAATTGGTTCAACAAAATAATCTCTTCAAGTTTTGATACAAGATCCGTTTTACAAGCTCGTGTGGAAAATACCCCCACTTGAGATAATAAATCTAAAAGTAACAAATAGTAAGTTATCAAATAGTATTCTTAAGTGTGACTACACCAATATTTATAAAAAAAAGTACAATTTATTCTGACCTATAACTTGTCTTATGAAACATTAAATATTTTATGATACCTCACTCTAGGCTTAATCATTTGAAGGGGACTAAATTTAACCTATTCCCTCACAAGTTACATTTGTCAATAAAAATCTTTGACTAAAAGTCTTAGATTGGTTAATAATCCTAGGTGGATTTCATATGAATTTGTTCATCACTAGTAAACACCATCGAGCAGATGCTCCGGCAATACAATATAATACGGGTCTTACATCCTTAATTGATTCACCCTTTGACTCTTCTCCAATACAAGTTAACAATGTTGAGCATCTTGTTGACCTCACTTTTGGTTGAGGTCTA